TCAGAGAATTAAATAATTATTTATAATGTTGATTTGTCATTACATTTCTATAATTTATTATTCTTTCACCAATTATTTGTGCATCTAAGCTAAGATTTGGCAACAAAAAATCTTTTGTTATATCTCCAGGACCACAACCAATGTCCATACACTTTCCACGTACATCCTTTAAATCTTCACTAAACTCATCGATTATAGACAACATATTACACTTTTGTAGTTCGTCAGATGTAATGTAGCCTTTTGGACTTCCCATTTTTGACTTTTCTCACTTCAGCACTGTGGTTTTAATGTGCAATGTGCTGCGATGATATCTGAGCAAGCTTATATACTCCACGGTATCAAGTGGGGATACCCATCAAGAACTTTGTGTTCTGGGAAATTAAGAACTCACGTCAAATAAAATCATATCTTTTTAAAACTCATTTTTTTTAAGTTATAAAAAAGGCATCAAGTACACGCGCCAGTCAGAACATTGTTGCATATGAAAAATACTGTCATACATAAAAATGATTAGACAAAATTATTGTATACTTAAACTCCTTGGAAGAAGCTATTGTGTATATTGAATTTAACTCTTTGCAAAAAAACTGTTAAATATTCTATCTATACAAAAGGTTTCAGAATATTAGAAAATAACATCAAGTAGGAATAAATCTTTGAAAAAAGCTGTTGTATATTTTACTTTCACAAAATTATGTTACCTAATTCAACTCAAGTGACATGTATTTTAAAAAAGTAAAATTTTTAAATTAAATTGTGCCAATTGCAAAGAGAATATGTATATTGCTTTGAAAAATAATTGTTGTGCAACTACTTTTAAAAAATAAAACCCAAGTGGTATCTTTGTGTTCCTATTCAAGGGTCTTCCTATTCCAACTCAAGTGGTAATAGCTTCTTAATTCTTCTTAACAAATTTTTAATATTACAAAGAATCATTTTAATCACAAAGAATTAAAGAAGTAACAGTATAAAATAAAAATATTTAATTAAAATAAAATAAATATATTTTTCTTGTAAAAAAAACTTGGCGCTGCTTTTTTACTTCTGTCGCATTCTTCCTTAAATTATGTTTATTGTCTTTTATTCAATCAAAAATCTTAGTACTAATGTTTAAATTTTAATGTTTAAATTTCAAAGTCTAGCAGCGCTAAGTTTTTTTACAAGAAAATATATAACAACAAATTAAATTTTTGTTGAATTAGCAAATTAATAATAATTAGTCACAAAAAATTATTATTTACATAAAAATTAATAATATTTAAGTAAAAGTGAAATATAGATCACTTAAAGAATTGGTAATTTGTTAGAGAAAAATTTCTAGTTCGTAAAAGTTAGTATTTAGGTGAAAATGAATTAATTTCTTTTGCAAATTGGTAATTAGTAGAAATAAATTCTTTTTTATTAAAATAATTAATAGTTTATAAAAAATAAATTACTATTTATTTGAAAATTAATAATTAGTGGAAAATAATTATTAATTTTTTTTCAATAATAAATAGACTAAATAGAATATTCGTAGTAGACGATGTTTTTCCCCAAATAGTAACCCCCAAAAAAATTTTTTTGAAAAAAAGGACCTTTTTTAGATAATTTTGTATGAGAGCCCCTTTTTTATTCTTTTATTTTAATTTTAATTTTTTCATATTAATTTATTCTTCATCGACACCATTTCCAAAAAATTAGACAAATTTTGGCACCGGTTTTCAAAAAATCGGTTCATTAATGAATGAGTAGTTCGCGATCAGATAGATCGAGATAGACAAACGTTAGAAAAATTTTGGAACCGGTTTCCCCCTTCCAAAAAAAAACATTTTCGTTAAAAATGAAACCAATCGCTGCTATCCCCGAAAAATTAGATAAATTTTGGGCCCGTTTTCAAGAAAATCGATTTATTTATGAAGGGATATTTTGCGGTCTATAAAATTTAAAAAAAATAGGGCACTGGTTTCAAGAAAATCAGTCCATTAATGAAAAATTAAACCCATCGACACCATTCCCGAAAAATTAGACAAATTTTGGCACCGGTTTCCAGAAAATTGATTCATTAATAAGTGAGTAGTTCGCAGTCAGACAGACAGACAAACACTAGAAAAATTTTGGAACCGGTTTCCCAAAAAATCGGTAATGATGCGGTTCTCAAAATATGTCTACGATCTAACAATAAGTTAAAGTGTCATGAGATAGTACACCAAATTTGGTTGTTCTAATTTGAAAACTGTAGATTTGATAGCGGAAAAACATACATATACATACATTTATTTATATAATATAGAAGATATAGATATTGCTTCTTTTTTTTATTATTTACTTGTACATTCTCATGTTCGGGAAGTCTCTCGGTTATCCATCAAACCTTCCATCCCTCTAACTCTTTTTGACTCTTTCTTTTTCTCTATTACTTCTGGGTTAGCTGATTTATCGGCGAACTTAGAGTAATCTCTTTTCTCTATATTACTTCTGGGTTAGCTGATTTATCGGCGGACTCGGAGTAATCTCTTATCTCATGCCTCAGTAAAATCCAACATAATAGTTATTTTAAATTAAATGTAATATAAAATTGGGTGTGTAACACGTGTGTTAAGTTGGAAATTGGACGTGCGGAGTGGACGCACAAGCCGGAGGCAAGTCCGTCCAATTTCCAACTCCGCACGTCCAATTTCCAACTTACAGCACTTGTTACACAAATAACTATTATATTACACGTGCGTGGAAAGTGGCCCATTACGCGCGTGTTTTTTGTGCGACAAATAGCCATTATGCAACAGGCATGGAAAGTGCCCCATTACGCACGCTACGCGTGCGTGATAGACCACTTTCCAGGCACTTGCAACATAAAATAGGGTGTGTAAGCCGTGCGTAAAGATGAAAATTCCCGGGTGCGGAGTTTACGCACGAGCCGAAGGCGAGTTATTAATACATAAATATCCTTGAAAAAATTGCGCAGATAATTATTTTCGACTCAGGCGGCCTGCAATTGTGTGTTCATTAATGACTAACGCAATCGACGTAGCCTGTGTTATAAATAAATATTCATTAACATTGCGCACCACTGTGCAATTTTTTATGTACTTAGACAATTGTTCTTTCTCATAAGATCGGTGATCTCATAAATTTCCTAACCATTATAAAAAAAAAACGGAGTTTATTAAATGTCTTTCTCTCGATTAATTTTCGTAACTGTAGAAAGGAATAATAAAGTATAAAAGAAAAACGTGTTATAAAATTCAAACAATATTCGAGTTTAGCATTTCTTTTATATTCGATTTCTATAGGAAATAACCTTCGTTTACTACATAATTGTGAAAGAAGAGTTGCTTTCGTTTCTAAAGTTTCTTTCTAGATCACGATCAGATTACCCAAGATCTTATGTCAACAATGCCAGCGAGAGCGTTAAGCGTTTCTTTCTGGAGTCGTGACAGGAGGTGTACGATTGAAAACCAGGATCGTGCTTATCTGGAGTAATTCGATTTACCGCCTGAATGCTTCCTTGATTTTGTACTTATAATCAAGTTACAAATAATGTCGCTTTAAACAGCGACGCCGTAATTTTGCCTTTCGGATGCTCTTATGCCTCTTCAATTTTATAATATCGTTTTCTTATATAACGCAATCTGTGATGCCGTTACCTTGAAAGATGTTAATTAAGAACAGTAAAATACATTTCGACAACAGCTCATTTAAAATAATGAACTGATATATCAAGTATAGTAAAACGACGAATTATAAGCTTACATATCATAGTAATTTATTAAACAATAATTAGAAAAACGCTCTCAAGATATACAATCAGTATAATTAAGATAAGGCAAATAAGAGCAACACGCTGTTATTAAAACACAATAAATTGTTTACAGTATTTTAGATGTTTATTAGCATCAATTAATCGGTGAGGGATAGGGGATTTTAATGCTCCAACGAAAACTGTGTTTTAAAGTCTAACAAAAAATCGGCGCGCAGTTGAGTAAGCTGAAAAAATTTGTGTATTTGGAAATACACAAAAAATTTGTTATTTTATATCTCTCGCTTTAATAATGGTGTTGCCCTCATTTACCTTATCTTAATTATATTGATTGTATATCTTGAGAGCGTTTTTCTAATTATTATTTATTACGCAGACCGAAACAATGCATCTTTCTGGTTTATATTCTTGCAACTCACTTTAACCGTTTATTGCGACAAATATTACCACATGTCTCAGTGGTCGAATTGGTACTACACGGAAGTGGGGAAATTTCAGGTTCGAACCTTGGCTGAGGTAATATTTTTCGCAATAAATTCTCTACAGTGTTTTAGATGTTTATCAGGATGAATTAATCGGGGAGGGTTTTAATATTCCAATAAAAACTGTGCTTTAAAGTCCGACAAAAAATCGCGGCGTAGTTGAATAAGTTGGAAATTTCGTGTACTTGGAAATATACGAAAAATTTATTATTTCATATCTCTCGCTTTAATAACGACGTGTTGCTCTTATTTGACTTATCTTAATTATATTAATTTATTAGGTTTTTCTAATAATTTCATTAATTTCATATATGTATTTCGCACCCGTGCGTAATTAAATAACACATTCTTTGCGTAAAATTATCGCTAAAAGAGTAACACTGAAATCTTGTATTTCTGTTTAGAGAGATTTAATCATCTATTTAATTATCAACCGGTCCATGGCGTATCATCAAACAAACAGATCGCACGGTTGGGCGAGTAAAACTAAATTGCACTTACTGTCACTATGTCAGAGCGCAATTAACGCGTCCACCACCTACACACCGTTAATTGAGTAACCAGCTGTTATCAATTGCATAACGTTATCAATTTTTGACCACGACGGGACGAGACAAGTAAATCCCGACGTGTCACGTAATCGCGCGATTGGTCGAACGGCACCTGTGGTAAACGCCGAAGAAGTGGGGAGTTACATAAAGCGGCACGACGCGGATGCAGGCGATGCAACGGAACACCGGTTGCGCGCACTCCACCGGCTCTCGCGGAATCACCACAGGCACGTGGATATTGTCGCTGTCAAGAATTGCTTAGTGAATCTTTAGCCAGATCGAGGTGCACTTTACTTCAAACGTGTGAGTCAAATTTTATTTCAATTTTAGCTGTGAAAGCAATGTGTATTTATATTTCTATTTATCTGAAGCGTTCTGAGAATCAACATTGTAGGAACATATAATATATATAGAATTTTATCTCGCTATAGGCACTATTGATACGTTTGTAGTATTTAATTTGGAAGCTAATGAGAGGAAAATTTGTTGAATAATTTGTTAAATAAATCATGTCGTCTGCTACCTTCAAAGTAACAGTTTTAAGCTGCTGTATATGAGTGATGAGCTATAAATTGTAGCAATATATGATGTAGATTGCTGTAAAAAAATGTAAATCGATAGTGAATGTTGAAATAGAAAAACGATTTGAATAAGCGTGAAAGTATCCTATAATTATGATAAACCGTGATACAACTGTAATAATTGCAACAATAGCAAGTATTATAATTTTATAACAAAATTTCCTTACAAAAAAAACGATAAGTTTATATTTAACACTAGCTGGTTGCCCGGGCATCGCCCGGGAGTCATTTTTCTTCAAACGGTCATTTGTGTTAATCGAAAAAAATTTCTTTATCAGGCAATGGCTGATACAATTCGGCCCACGGATGTCATATACACTTTATGATACTCCCCGGGAAGTTCTACCTCTGATTCATATACAATTCTTTAAAATTCGGTCAATTATTTCTCGAAAAATTGGAAAAATTTCGAATACCGATTTCCAAAAAGATCGGTAACAAAAAACTATAACTCTATAACATTCCCCGGAAAATTCTACCTTTATTTTATATACTTTTAGTAAAAATTTAGGATATAGATAGTATATTTAAGTACATTTACGAGTATATTATACATTTCAGTATGTTTGATAAGAGACTGATTGTGAGTAATTTCGAAGCAAGATTGTTTAGGATCTCGCAGGTCCTATAATTGATGTCAAGGAGTTAAACTTTAATAGCGCTTGTTAGTCTCTTGGTCCAACCAATTCACCTTGAGAGTGCAAATTGAAAAATTTTAATTGTGCATATATAACTCGCATATGCAAGGCCAGGTGTCTTGGTTCAACCAATTCACATTGGAAATTTAATTGAAAAATTTCAATTGCATATATACATGACCTTACACATAACATTCTGTAACCCGGATATAATCCGTAGTATATATTGGTTCAACCGATATATTAAAGAAAAGCTATATTCCGAGTATGAACCACCTGTCAATTTCTAAGACAATCTGTTTTTTCTTTATTGTAACAGGAGGTCACGATGGAACGTTGTGGAAGATAATCATCTTGGGAGGATAAAAGCGGTCATGGCTATCCTTACAGATGATATTATGATAACGATAGGCACAAAGTTATAGCCGGGATTATTATCCGGATGATCACTCGTATGACGATGATTCGTTGGAATTGGATGACTACGACGGTGAAAGTCGAATACGAGGAGTCACTCTTTTCTATTTCGAGTTCCACAGGACGGAACCTGAGTTCTCCTGAGTCAGATGTAGACAACGAGACTGTTCTAAAGGTTTTCGAAAAAGCGCCATCCCAATGACCATCCGGGGTAACAGGTGATTAAGCAGCTGTAGAAGGAGAAAAAACTTTAGACAAATCGGATGACGTCCGAAAGGAAAAGAGGCTCTCGGCAGAGATCGCATAATGCCGGATAGAATCCTAGCACCGGCGGTGTACAAGGATCTTGCAGTCAGATGAGAAGACATTAGAAAAGGGCCTTCCAAATAAAGAGCAAAAAATTCTTTTAAAAAGCCCCCCCCCCCCGGAAAATTATACGGTAATAGATCCACTAAAAATTAATTTAGAGATTAAGTCTGCTCTAGACAACACTATTTTTAAGAGCATAAATGGCTGCTGCCATTGCTGGAATTGCAAAGGTTTAGAGTTCTGTGCTGAAAAGAGACCTAGAGAATAAACTGGGTCTTGTGGAACCTTAGCGAGATTATTAGTTGATTCTGGTGATGAAACAATGATTCGCAGGAGTCTTATTTTGAAGCCTATTGTTACATGAAATATGTAGAAAAAACTTTAACATAATTAATTATGTTGCGATAAATTTCACAGAAACGAAAAGTTCTTCGAAAAGGATTTAAAGAGTGGCGCAAAAGCCAATCAGAAGATAAAAATTCAAAATACTCGCTGGGGCCATCTCGCTGAAATCGACAGAAGTCATGCGGTCAATCGAAAGCGAGCGGACAAAAATAGACGTACAATCAGCGATAAAACTCATCTTCTTAAGGTCGCAGTACCTATCAAAAGCCGGGGACAAGTGCCTGCGAAAAATAGTTAGAAATATTAAGGTTGTAGGTGGACTGGCATAGTTGAAATGTCAATGGTCGTGGTTGATTTCGGATTCAACCATCTTGAGCTAGATTCCAGATATAAGATACTGTTCAAAGGTGAGACAACTCATCCATAAAAACCACAATAGTCTGAGCAGGAAAAGATTTTGTCCGAGCAGATTCGAGAACAGATTGCGTAGCTATCAAGGAAGCAGGTCATTTCAAAGTGCCTGCCAGTTCCAAATCAATTTATTTCAAGAAATTTTTTCTTTTTTACTCTTGTGCCTAAACAGAATGGATGTTATAGGCTAATCTTAAATCTACCTTAATCTAAAACCTCTTAAGCTTATCAATACTGAAAACGATCAAATGAATAATGGCTAAAGGCTATTTCATGACATCGATTAAATTGACGCATACTATTCAATTCGCATGCTCAAGTACAGATAGAAAATGCCCAAAATTCTTGTTCAAAGATGTCCTCTACGACTTTAAATGTACCCTTTGAGTTAAGCACAGCTCCGTACACTTCTACAAAGATTATGAAGCCAGTGAATTATTATCTAAGGAAGTCTAATTATCCGTTAATTATTTGGATGAATTGCTTCTTCTAAGCAAGACATATGCGGTGTGTTTGAAAAATGTACGGATAACATGTAGTCTTTTGGAGTCACTAGAATTCATAATAAATAGAGGAAAAGATAAAATAGAGTCGGAGATCGAATATAGGTTTCTTAGTTTTATCCTGCATAAAATGTCGGATTGAAAAGAATTAATTTAAATTCTGCTTTCTGATGCCAAGAAAGGGATTGAAAAGTATTGATTCGCAAGAATTCACTTAGCTTAAAATATTTCTCGCATTCAATCGCAATCGATAATCTTCAAACAAATGCGAATTCTCGCATTAAAAAGGATTCACTTCTTCTGCTAATTGTTTTTGGATTTAGAGGCATACAAGATTTTCACGTTCTATTCCCAGTATCGCACTGAAAAGTATTGCCCGTGATCCAATCCGAAATTGTTGCAAAGCAGAATTCATGACAAAATCTCGTAAATGCGAAACAATATTTTTGAATAAGACGTTTTATGCAGGGTAGTTATAATATGACATTGGTTTTATGTCTTGTATTAACATTTCTGAAAGATTTACGATAAAATCTTTCGTTTAAATGTTTCAATTCTTTATTATGTACCAACAAGGGACATTGAGTAAAAAAAAAAAAAAAAAAAAACAGCTTTATAAGTTTAGCTCGATTATACGATATTCTATTCGAGATTTTCATAGGAACCTTAGGTTCATGTTATACAGTATATAAATTGATTGAGTGCATATAAACGAGAAAAATTATTGCGTTACAGAGAAACAAGATAATTTTGAAGCTCACATGGAATTAAACGACGAATTAAGAGAGGATTCGGACTGATGGGAATCGCATATTGATGCTGCAAAATGTTCCATTAAGAGTTAAACCTGCTCTAGAAATAATTTCGGATGCGTTACTCTCAGGCTAGAGTAGTTCCTTGTTAAGGTCAACGGGCTCACGGATATTGGAATGCCGTATCAATTATCATCTTGAGTTGTTAGTAGGTTTTTGGTCTTAAGTATTTTGCGAGAAGATTCAGAAGTAGTGATATCTTGTTACGTACTGATAATACGACTGCGATCACTTATATAAACAAAAGGAGCGGCATTCAGTTTAAGAAAGTGAGAAAGTTGGCAAAATAGATCCTTGGATTTTCGCATCGTATATACAATTCGAAAAGAATGTCGAGGTAGATTTTGAGTCGAAAGGTCTTGAGCTGAAAGAGGAGTTTACATTATCAAATGCAGCGTTTTAAATATTAGTACAGCGAGGTTTGGAAAACCAGATACGGAATTATTTGCATCTCGAAGAAATGCGAAATGTTCGCGTTATATCTCGTGAGTAAGAGACCCAGAGACGGTAACTATCGACGCGGTTACAATTGACTAGATATACCTACTTCGAGTTCTGGAAAAGATGAGGGCGGAAGGTTCAAGAGGTATTGTTGTGGTCCCTAAGTGACTGGCTCAGGCATGGTACCCGGTGTACATACATGACAATGTTACTTTAGTGACTTAACTACTTTAATTTTCTGAAATAAAGATAATTAAAATACAAAATATCTTAATTTGAAGTTCTCATAGTTCAAATCTCCTTCTTGATGATATTTATTTGCAAAATAATTTAACAATAATAGTAGATGAATAGTAATTGTTGTGTATCGGGAAAAGGAAGAATTTGGCACCTGAGTATTAACTCTTTATTTCCAAAAAAGGTACTGCGCTCTTATAGCTGTCGCGAACGGGAGAGAGAGATCCGCAGCAAGCCAACGGCTATGTATATCAACCTACGTTAGCGCGCGCGTTCCTAGGCCCTCTACTTCCCGGTCGTATTCCCAGCAAGAAATGACCCATCGAATCCCATCGAATCAATGTCTAATCAACGTCGAAATCATGATGGGTCATTTCTCGCTGGGTTGTTTCGGGCGGAAACAAAAACAATAATGGCGCGCATCTACGAAATGTATAACTACATAACCCCTCTTCCTTCGTGAAAAAAAAACTACCTTCTAACTAAACTTCGTATAGAAATCCGCGAATCTCGCGGCTAATTTTCTGTTTCGGGTTGACGGCTCTCTTTGGTTTCGCTTTTCCAGAGGTGGTTGTATTTCCCTTAATTGGTTTTTACTCTTGTGCCGCTTCTTCATCTTGCACATTATCGCCTAAGTTCCCTGAGTCGTTTAGTGGCTCCGGTTCTTTTGGATTATCTCCAGCTTCATCATCAGATGGTTTCTCATCGTATATGAGTCTCCACCTAAGTACCAGTTTTGTCTTTGATTCTTATCTTCTCCTGTCTTGCAAATTTAGTCTATGTGCCGCTCCCAGATTCGACCATTATCTAACGCGATCGTATAGTGTAATTTCCCGGTACGACGAATGACTTTTCCAAAACGCCATTTAACTTTATTCATATAATCTCTACATTATATTCTCTCTCCCATCTCAAATGTTGTACATGTCTTAAATGTATTTGTATTTGTACATTTCTTTAGCTCGTCCGGTAAACATAAAGTTAAGTTTGTACGCATTCTTCCTTTAGAAATTTGATCGCATGGAGCTATACGCCCGTAATACATTGGGGAGTTACTCTATATTGCACTAAAAAGTCTTGCATTGCATTTTCTAGCGTTATTATAGTCCCTTATTCCTAGGATCCGCAAGCATCTTTCGCAATAGTATATTGTGCACCAAGTAGCGAAAGTAGCGTTTTTCAGACGAGTGTGAAGTTTGCCGCCCTCGCTTCCGGCTCGGGCGGCAAATCACACGAGTCTGAAAAAGCTTTCGCCCCGAGGTGCACACGATATTTTTCACAATATCTTTACGGAAAGTTCGACCTCCATGCCTAGAGAGAGGCGAGAGTGGCCATTTCACGCCAGGACGGCATAGCGGGACGAAAGTAACCACTTTCCTCCCTAGGGCGGAAAGTGATCACTTTCATCCCGCTAAACAGGGACGAAAGTGGCCACTTTCGTCCCGTTAATGCCGTCCTGGCGTGAAATTGATCACTTTCGCCCCTCTCTACAGGCATGGAAAGTCCAACTTTCCGTGGAGGTGTTGTGAAAAGAGTTTTTCACCGTTTGCACGAACCTTTCTGCTAATCCGTTTGTTGACGGATGGTATGGAGCAGTAAATTTCGGTGTAATACCTTTTGATCTTAAAAATTGTAGTAAAAATTCCGTGGAACGGAAATTGCGACCGTTATCCATTACCATTATTTTTGGATAACCAAAGTTGGTGAAAATCTCTTTGCATTTGTTAATCGTAGTTTTCGCTGTAATATTCTTAACTATCCGAACTAAAGGCCACTTCGAATATGCATCCATAACTACGAAAAAGAAATGATTTATAAATGGTCCCGCAGAGTCAACATGTACACGCTCGAAGAACACTTCCGCTGGCTCCCACTCATGTACTTTGTTACATGTATCGCAATTTCTTGTTAATCTCTCAATTGAACGGATATTTTCGATATTGTTACATCTCCATAACAATATATATTATCGATATTACAGGTAAAAGAAGACAAATCATGGATCCTGATAGCTTCAAGGATTACGCCAACAAGATGGCGGAATACATAACAAATTATTTGGAAAATATTAGAGATAGGTAGGTGATAAACAAGTCGTGATCGAGAAATTGTTTGTTTGAAATCGATGAATCTAAATTAAATAATAATATATATTAGTTTATGTTTTTTATATAAATATAAACTCAACCTTCGTTTTACGATAAATACGTTTCGCGTGAGATAAAATCACGTTATTTGAAAAAAGTCTTTGCTAGTTACTGTGTGTAATAGTGAGTAACTAATTGTAAGAAGCTTTTAGCTTGATATGTACACTCCCTTCGGTTGAAGGTGCATGTATGAAAGTACCATGTGTATGATTTCTATTTTATAAAAAGGGGAGATATATGTATATGTATAATTTCTATTTTATAAAGAGGGGAAATATGCGCACATATGGAAAGCTGTTTACATGAAGGGTGATACATACAACAATATAAATGATAATCGAATCATGATTAACAACGAGCTGCTGAAATGTGATTAGAGCTACAACAATCATTGAAAAATAGTCTAGAGTATTACTCGCTTTTTTAACACGACTAGACACTACAGACGCGCGCTACGCGCGCGCTATTTATCTTTAACATTTCACTATTAACCCTATTATACACAACTGTCAAAATATACAATGACAGCTGCAAATGAAGTAAGCGCAGCAAGAAAACCAATCGGCATCGCGGAAAAGCGGCAACAATAAACTTCACATCTCCTTTTTAGAAAAGGATAATATGGGAGGGCATATGTCCGATTGAAAAAATTTCATTGTTTTATTATTAGAATTTAAAATTAAGATCTGTACATATACATGAGAGATTAGAACAATTTTTTGAAAAACCGCGTAAAAAGAATTGCGCGAAAAATGGCGTAAAAAGAGAGTTGGATGTATCTCATAAACAGAAATTCAAAAATTTCCAGGAGAGTCTTGCCAACAGTAGAACCAGGATACATGAAACCCCTCTTGCCATCCGAAGCGCCACAAACCCCTGAACAGTGGCAAGATATAATGGCCGATATCGAACGAGTAATAATGCCAGGCGTAAGTGATTTTTAAGGGTCGGCAGGGGACACGGTGGAGACCTCTGTCGGGTTGGCTTAGCTGCCACTCGCTGCGAGTCCGTATTTTATTTATTATAAATTTTTAAGAGCCAAAATGGAAAATTCGGCTCTGTACCGGGTTGCGGCTGATCTTACTGATTAAAACGAGCATAAGTTTAATGAGATTCGTTAATTAATTTGGCTAAAGTTTGGGAAAAACCACGGCTACAAATGGTAGTCCGTGCCCTCCGGCTCACTCTCGCCTCGCCTCGCGCGCGACACCCCGACGCGTAGTCGGGCACCCGGGTTTGTGGTAATATTGTGGTAGGGATCTTGTCATATATTGAGTGCCAGTGCACGCAACTAAGTTTTTAGTCCCGCTATTCTAGATGGCGCGCATGTAGTTTAACCAAGGCATAAAAGTGAGACTTTCTGCCGTGGAATCGGGGCTGAAAGTACGTACTTTCGACCGAGGTAGTAAGAAAAAGCAATTGAAGTACTTTATTATCGGCACTTTCGATTGTTGTGTAAGTAGGATAAGAAATAAATTAAGATAAAATTGTTCAGGTTACTCATTGGCAGAGTCCAAAATTCCACGCATACTTTCCCACTGCGCAATCGTATCCCTCGATTCTAGCCGATATGTTAAGCGGAGCTATTGCGTGTATTGGATTTTCGTGGGTAAGTACAAAAACTTGCAGTTGAAAATGCGATATATGTTTTATTTATGAATTACGATTATTATAACCTTCGCATGTTCATGCTTTGCTCATTGATATGTCACTTAATGTTCTGTAGTAATAATTTATTTAAAAAGATCCTTAACTTATATGTTTAAGAGTAACAAAATCTGTTTCCATGCATGACACATAAAAATCAAAGTTAAAATATTGACGGACATAAAATCTCTTTTTTTAAATAAAATATGTTACTAATTTTTTGATAAATAAAAAAATAATATAAAGCAAGGAAATATGTCGAATGCTGAGATCAAAACGCTAAAGACACATCATCCTTTTATAGTCACTTTTGATATTAAATTTCTTGTATTCCAGATCGCGAGTCCAGCTTGTACTGAACTAGAAGTGATCGTATTAAATTGGCTGGGAAAAATGCTGGATTTGCCGAAGGAATTTCTTGCCTGCAGCGGTGGAAAAGGCGGTGGCGTAATTCAGGTAAACGACATTTTCCGAATAACATTACATTTACAAAAGATATCTGGATAGCTAGAGAAAATAGTCATTATGATATTTCTGAAGAGAAGGACACTATTAAGCATACTTAAGGTATAATTTTCACCTACAGGGCTCCGCTAGCGAAGCTACTTTGATAGCGTTACTAGGAGCGAAGGCTAAAAAGATAAAGCAAGTTAAAGAACAACATCCCAATTGGATGGAAAACGAGATTGTCGGCAAATTAGTCGCATACTGTTCTTGTAAGTATACTACGATCATTTTGTTACGGAATCTGCCACTGATATGCCAAACTTTACAAAACATATAAGTAAGATCAAAACGGAAACAATTTGTTGCTTACAATTAGATAGATAGATATTAAAAATGATGTAAATTTGGTCAACATAACGTTAAAATGACGTGTCATTTTGACTGCGATATGTTTCTTGGATTGTTCCATTTCGACCGCGCAAAAAACTGCGTTCTCAAATATTAGCACAGAAAAATACGTATGCATTCGATTGTGACCAAATTTGCACTGATGACTCGCAAGGCTCTTTCCCTTGGACGCCAAACCAATATAGAACCCTACTGTGTTGCCACGTCGGCAGAAGAAAAGAGTGACCCCAAAAATCGCCTATTTTTGGTCCCGCGATATTCATGGAACTGAATTGTGTGTCAAATGATACCTTATGACAAAACATCATTCACAAAAAGTTTTTAAGTTGAGCTGAGAATTGATTTCAGAGATATGGGAGGTCAAAGTAGTCAAAATTCATTAACTCGTTAGCCCGTACGCTTTAAAGCACGAATTTTTCTTTCAATCCGATAATTTAAAACTTCGTACCCAGGGGTTTTGCTAGCTGCTGACAATGAATTTGAAATCAGATTTTTCACACATACTTATGGATCGATTTACTTAACAAGAAAAAAAAATTAAAACATTTTTTAAATACATAGTCCGCCATATTAAATCGGCCATTATAAATTTTAAAAATCTGATTTCAAATTCATTGTCAGCAGCTAGCAAAACCCCCGGGTACAAAGTTTTAAATTATCGGACTGAAAGAAAAATTTGTGCTTTAAGGGGATGCTGGAGCCGTCTGTTTTACCGGCATTTTTTGTCGGCACGTAGCGTCGTATTAATTTGACAGAATTAAAAATTCTTTTCCAGAATTGCAGTACATACATTAATGATTCGGGGGAACTCCGATTTTATATAGAAAACGAGAAAAAATTACGGAAGTACAGATTTCCTTATCTTTTATCCCAATATGGCGTCTCGAGTTGCGGCGAGCTGTTAGCTCGTCACAAGATGTATTTCATATAAGAGATATACCATTGGTACGAACGTGAAAACAAGTTCCCCCGAGTTGCACAACAAGAAAAACATCGATAAACCCTCCAAATCAAGATTTGGAAGCGTAATATAAAAGTATAATGTCGATGTGCATCGTGCGTATGTGTGCGTGCAATGTAGCGTGCTATCCTTGTCTATATCTTTGTCTATACAAGGACAGATATAGTCGATAACATAGAAAATGGTAATTTTGTCGGTTATACAGACGGCTCCAGCATCCCCTTAAAACGTACGGGCTGACGAGTTAATGAATTTTAACTACTTTGACCTCCCATATCTCTGGAATCAATTCTCACCTTAACTTAAAAATTTTTTGTGATTGATGTCTTGTCATAAGGTATCATTTGATACACAATTCAGTTCCAATATCACGGGACCAAAAATAGGCGAAAAAACCACAGATTTTGGGGTCACTCTTTACTGCACGAACTTTTTGATCACACCTCGTATGTCTATTATAAGTATACTTTTAATAATATTTTGGTATAAAAAAATTTGATTTTATAGTGTATATATAACTTATAGTTTATACATAACTATAGTTTACAGGGTTTATGTGATATTAACACATCCGTAAACCGATGCAGACAAATTATGATAAACATTTGTGAAAACATGAAGTTAATCGAATAAACCGTTCTCAAGTTATTGTGGTTATAGTTTTAAAAAATGCTATTCTAGAAAATGAACACATCGAGAAATTAATAGACGGCGATACGAGTCAGGCGCGGTACGTGGTGCGCAAGTAAAGAAATTAATAGTTACAGAAGTAACGAATTAAAATGTATATAATATACATATACATATATTCCAACTTAATAAACTGCGCGCCGATTATTTGTCGGACTTGAAACACAGCTGTCGTTGGAACATTAATACTCTTCCCTCCCCGGAATTAAATCTACACGATTTAATTATTTAAAAAACTGTAAAGAAATTATTGCAAAAAATATTAATGTTCCAACGATAGCTGTGTTTCAAGTCCAACAAATAATCGGCGCGCAGTTTATTAAGTTGGAATACATGTATATACGTATATACATTTTAATTCGTTACTTCTGTAACTATTAATTCTCTATTTGTGCACCACGTACCGCGCTTGACTCGTATCGCCGTCTATTAATTTTTAGAATATAATTAAAGAATATAATTTTTACAAAGAATAAGCACTAATTAGTGAATGTAATATTTACGTTACAATTTTGGAATTGAAAGATTGGATTATTTCCTCTATTTTGTATTTTAGATGTCGATTCAGATGTATCTTCAGTCATGATACAGCCAGCAAGCGACACAAGTCGACACAAACGTCGTTTTATCTTTCTTTTTTGGCAATGAGTAACAAAGACAAAACGACACTTGTGTCGACTTGTCACTTGTTGGAAAGCTTCCTATATATGTTTTAAGATTTGCCCGTTACTTTACTTTCCGCCCGCTAAACAGGGACGAAAGTAACAATTTGATTCCTTTCGTCCCTGTAACAAAGACGAAAGTAACAACTTTCTTCCCTGGCGTGAAATTGGTCACTTTTGTGCTTCTCTACAGGCATGGAAAGTCGAACTTTCCGTGGAGGTGTTGTGAAAAACATATTTCCATTTTAAGGTATTTAGCAAGAATTTTTATCGTATATTTTCTCGCTTCTGACGTCACAATCTGAGATAATAGTGCTGAGTAAATAGGAGCTTTAAGTGCATACATTGTTGAAAAATGAAATATATTAAAGAAATAAAGATGTTTGTCAAAATTTATAAAATTTATATACCTATTCATATGGTATGTATCTTATAATTAGTTCTACAAGTGCAAGTTACTCTTAAATCTAGTTAAATATTAAATATCGACATTGCATAAATTACAGGTAATATAATGTAGTAATAAAAAAAAAATGTGTTACGTGAAATCGATATTGCGAATTTCTCAAAAGTCGAACAATTATAATAAATTAATCGCAATGATAATATGTGACGAAATATTGTATTTTTTTAGGCCAAGCACATAGTTCAGTTGAACGCGCTGGACTTTTCGGTGGAGTAAAGTTCAGACAATTGGAAGTCGATGAAAAACATAAGCTGCGCGGCGACACATTTGCCGATGCAATCAGAAAGGATAAAGAACAAGGATTCATACCGTTTTACGTAAGTTCAGCTTATCCGATATTTCTTTATTAATTGAATTATTTCTTCCATTACTTCCATTTGTTAAAAAAAAACAAATAGAATTGTAGAGAAAAAAATTAAATGTACTATGTATGCAAAACCGTGAAATAATATAATGTAAATATTTATGAAACAAAATAATATTCTCAGAAAATTCTCGGAAATTAAATGTTGCAATATGTTTGTTATAACATCACATCAAAAATATTTATATCGCGCTCAAAAAAAAATTTTCTCTATAAATAATCAACGTAAAGTTTAACGTAATAATAAGAAATTAGGTTTAATTAGCATTAATTAATTTTAATTAATATAAAATTAATTATTAAGAAATAAATACTTCAGAGATTATATAAACAGACTTCTTATCGTAGGCCGTCGCTACTTTGGGTACCACTATCGGTTGCGCCTTTGATCGTCTCGATGAAATGGGTATCGTAGCGAATCGTGAAGACATTTGGTTGCATGTGGACGCTGCTTATGCAGGTATAAATAAATTTTCTCATTTCAACATGAAAATAATTATGAATTTTTCAAATGGCAATTTATAAAACAAATCCATTCGATTATAGGATCCGCTTTTATCTGTCCGGAATTCAGATATTTAATGAAAGGCATCGAAATGGCGGATTCATTTGATTTCAATCCTCATAAATGGATGTTAGTTAACTTTGACTGCTCTACCATGTGGCTTAAGGATCCGACATACATCATAAACGCTTTCAATGTCGATACTTTGTATCTCAAGTACGATATGCAGGGTTCAGCGCCGGATTATAGGGTATAGGCTATTAAAAATCTATTACTAGTCACTTACGTTGATATTGTCGAATTTACATTATCTAATTAATAAAATCAATTTGAAAAACAATTAATAAATACTGTCGTTAATCTGTGTAATTGAGTGTACTTCGTTACAGCATTGGCAGATTCCACTTGGACGTAGATTCCGATCTCTGAAACTTTGGTTCGTATTGAGGCTCTATGGGGTCGAGAACCTTCAAAACTTTATCAGATCACACGTCGCTCAAGCACACGAATTCGAGGCACTAGTTCTCTCCGATCCTCGCTTCGAAATTGTGGGCGAAGTTCTCATGGGATTGATTTGCTTCCGATTAAAGGTAAGTCAATTACTTTCACAAATATATTTACAAATAAGCCTTTTTTAACAAATATATGTATGTGTTCAATATCTTTTTTCTTCCTAGCATATGCATTAATGGATGTTTCCACACTTTCCATCTCTTCCCGGTTCCTTGATACGTGAATCAGATCTTCTACAGTGTGCAATCCAGTCCATTGCCTTATATTGCGGAGCCAGGACATTTTCTTTCGTCCTATCTCTTTTCTGCCTTTAATCTTTCCCTGAATCTTTCTCTCAATCGTGTTCAATATCGCATCCATATCTAAAAAAGAGATGTAAAGTTTATTGTTGTCGCTTGTCTATATCTTATTATTTAAAAAAGATATTTATACTTTTTATATTAAATTTTAAATTAATAAAAGAATATATATTTTTAGAAATAATTATTAATTCCTTGATAATTAAAAAATATCATGTACATCATTTTTATAAAAGCGTAAGCAGAGTAAATAGCAGAATTCCATAATAATTCCATAATAATTTACAGGGATCCAACGAACTCAATGAAGCCCTGCTAAAGAGGATCAACGGTGCGGGAAATATCCATCTCGTTCCGTCGAAGATAAAGGACACGTACTTCCTGCGACTCGTTGTCTGCTCTAGATTCAGCGAGATCAAGGATATACAGTATTCCTGGAAGGAGATCAAGCTGAGAGCCAACGAGATACTTGAGGAGCAATCGGTTTCGAAGTGATGGCGCGCTCAGATAGCTCGCGGTTGCAGATTGTTGGCGCCTGCCACTTGCAACCAATCCTAGTTTCAAATATTTTCTCACACCCAGCGGCTTTTGAGGACCAAATAGGCTAAAGCGACGGATAATTAATAGGCGGTTTCCGACAGTTGTGCAATAAAAAATAATGATTTTTACAAACATTTTTAAGGACATTCTCCGGCTTCAGTCGTGCTCAACTTGTATTCGTGCTTAAAAAGATGTTTATATACAAAATATTACATGCATATAATAACATCTAAAAAATAAGAAGTTAACTTCACGCGTGAGAACTCATGCGGTGTTGCCAAGTAACTGACGCCTCTTCTTTTCTATCACTCTGAACCGAGAGAAAAATTCATCAAATCACGTACTTTACACAAGTATTTCTCGAAAACGAGTGCCGCAAGGGTATTGACACTTAATTGCATATTATTTATATTTTTATGGAGCATCATATACTAATTTTTCAAAAACATTTAGAGAAAACTTTTTTCACAATTCATTATAATGTCTCTTTTACAATAGCTTGGAATAGGAATTACATGTTAAAAGTTGAAACTTTGAAACTCAGTATCTCAATTTTTAATACCGCAAGAGGTATTGAAATTTATACTATCGCATAAAGCACACCTAAATTAACGTATATTCACAGTTTCAAGAAAATCTAGAGAAAATCGATTTTCCGGAGAACGATCTTAAATTTCGAACGATTAAACATATATATTCACGTTTATATTTTATTAAGCACAACAAACATGTATATAAATATTCTACTTGTTACAAATATGTAACTGAATTATTTATATATTTTGTTATAATTATATTCCACTAAGCGCTCAACGTGAATATAATATGAAAACATCGCCTATAAGTTGAATGCGTGATACTTGTTATACTGTTATTTATGTACATGTTATTATATATAAATGTTTATATATTATACATCACACAAAATGTGTATTATAAAAAAACAATTTATTGTATAATGATTTAAGACACGTATTTTTTACGTTTCTACAGTTAACAAAAATATCTATTTGTTAAATTTTTTTTTTTAAATTATAATTTACTGTATCTATATATATAATAGCTTTAATAGCCTTTTTTGAAACATTTAAATTTATATTGCAATAATTATTAAATTTATATTGCACAAAATAAATCATTTTATCCATGCTCATTAGTAGATATTTATTAATTTGGCTTCTTCATAGAGGAAGCAATGTACAGGTTTCTACTTGCCCACTTATAAAACTATAAGGAAGCAATGTGCAAGTTTCCACTTGCACACTTAAAAACTATGAGGAAGCAATGTACAAGTTTCTACTTGCACATTTAAAAACTACGAGAAAGCAATGTGCAAGTTTTTACTTGCACATTTAAAATCTGTGAGGAAGCAATGTGCAAGTTTCTACTTGCACGCTTTTTTTTATGGATAGAGTATTATTAAAGATAGATTGGTGTTGTATTTGGCAATGATCGGTGAAAGGGTTACCAATTTTTGCCTAAAAAGTGTACAAGTCATACATGTAATCTTATATTATAACGTATCATTAAAGGGAGGTTGTTTTGAATTTGGCGAAGATTAATGACAGGGTTACCGATTTCTGCCTAAAAAATGTATAGGGTAGACCGAGGCAAATCGAATTTCTAATTAGCACGATAAAATAGCTCATTTAAAATAAAACACTAACGAAAATTTGTCTTAAAACTTATATTAATCCGATTCGCCTCAATCTACCTTAAGTTATTTGATGGATAGAGTATCATTTTTTAAAGGAAGATTGTTAGAGAATTTGGCGAGGATCGGTGAAAAGATTACCGATGTCTGCTTAAAAAGTGTATAAGATGTACATGTAATTTTACATAGAGTATTATTAAAAGAAGATTGTTTTGAATTTTGCGAGAATCGGTGAGAAGGTTACCAATTTACAATTAAAATATTTAGATACCGGAAGTATATTACAAAAAATTAAATTATTGGAAGGAACGGGCTAATTATGAGCCGAATGTCATAATTCGCTCGACTCATAATTATCATTACTGAAGCCTCTACTTCGACTTAATTAAATTATTATTTACATATGTAGTATAAATATATTTTTTTCAGTTACTATTCGTGATTATATATTAATGGAATAAAGCATATATTTCTCGTCGAATCTAGGACTCTAAAAATTAAAGAAGATATATATTTCTTATCTTAAAAAAAGAGAAAATAAAATGAAAGAATATATAGTTAAACAAAATTTTATATAGTTCAACCAAGAAAAAAATTGTACAAATTAGAAATTTGCACTTGGCTTCCTCATAGAGGAAGTGATGTCTTAAGATGCTAATACGGTCCTCTGATTGGCTGATGACGTCTTAAGATTATACTTAAGACGATCTTGGATATAAGACTCAACTATAAATACCGGCCTTAAAGAATTATATATGAAATAAAAATAGAAAAAACTGAAGAATATAATAAAAATAAAAAATTTCGGTAAACTTGGTTATTTTTTTTAACAGAAATCGGTAACCCCTTTATTATTAACAATTTTTATTAATTTTATTATATTTTTCAGTCTTTTCTACCCCTATTTCATATATAATTCGTTAAGATTTGGTTGATCAGTTCTGGAGTTGTAGAAATTTCTGTAAATTTGGCACAGCCATACACACATTCCGACATTTTTTTTAATGCAAGATTTCGACGTTTTAGAACACTCTGAACATGATGACATTAAAAACTCAAAAAACAATCTTTTCTTTGGTTTTTTCTACCCTTATTTTATATATAATTTTTTTAAATTTGGTTGATTAGAGCCAACTTTATACGCAATCAAAAGTTCATATACGAATTTACGAAAACAAAGCTTCCTCTATGAGGAAGCAAAAGATGTCCAAAATAGGTCCAAAAGCAATCCATTATAGGTCCAAAATTGGGTATGTTTTGGACATTCTGCGGACGTACAAAGTTGTGACAAATGGACGTCCATGGGACATAGAACGTTCGACGGACCTTATTTGGACTTTGTATGGACGTCGGAATGTCCAAAAGCGGATGTCCACTGAACATACAATGAACGTCCTTGTGCTATCTGGGAAGGATGCTCTCCCGGTTTCCGCAATGAGTAACGTTGTCTATAAAATCTCTTGCCGAAATTGCGACGCATCATACGTGGGGCAGACTGGCAGACTATTAAAAACTAGAATATCCAAACATCGTAGTCATATCAACAGAAACAGTTCTGCCCACTCCGTGATTACCGATCACAGAATCCAGAGTGATCACGATTTCGATTGGGATAACGTTAAAATGTTGGATCATGAAAGATATTATCATAAATGACTTATTTCCGAAGTTTTATACATAAGACAACAACGTCATAGTTTAAATTTACAATCAGACACCGATTGTTTACACCATGCATATATACTTGTTCATCATAAATAATTTATAACTTTGTTTTTGCCCGTCCCCGGCCGTGTTACTTATTTTGTTTATAACTATCAATCCTTGTTCTGACCTATACGAATCTTCGACCCGCCGTCTCACTTTGTTTCCAACCGACATGCGTGAGACTTTATTTTATACTTGTATCTCTAATTTCCGAAATGTGCGACTCTTCGAATTCATCCTTTGACTACTGCGACTTTTTAATTAATGTACTTCTTTGACTGCTGCAGACCTTAAGCCTTTCTCTTTCTGTTTCTTTTAACGATTGACTAAATATATGTTTCTTTTCACAGTGGAAATGTCCACTATAACCGTGCGTACCAGCTCGCTTGTCACGACAACTCCCCAAGAAAAGAGCTTCCTACCTCGAGTTCTGCAGGAATATAATAAATCTTCTTTTCCTAATAAACGCTGAAGATGTCTCGAAAGAAGAGCTGAAACGTTCGTCACTTTTAAATACAAGTTTTCGTTTTATTTGCGCACCACGTCCCGCGCCTGACTCGCATTCGCCGTTAAATGCTATCAATATGATTATTAATAATCTAATTATCATTTTTTACACATTCTCTCCTTTCAACGATATCAATGCTCTTAACTCGGAATTCCAGTATACAAGATGTCGACCTTATTATTCAACACCATTCGTTTTCTTAGCAGCTACGGCGAAGCTATCGCTAAATGCAATGCATTATGTATGAAAGCGAAATACGAGTCCCATTGTTTTGGAAAGAATAAATCCAGCTATCAGACGAAAGTGGTGGCTATTGCTAAGAAAAACGACCGCTTTTTTCATTAAAGTGTTAGGCCATAGAATAATAACAGATAGAAACATCGTTACACAAATATCTGTTATGATATAATGATATATATCTGACGATACGAAGCTATCGTCCATCATCGTGAAATAAACTTATATTTATCTAACCATATTAATATAATATTAATACAATGCTCTATATATTTCTCTCTTATATTGTTTCATTTTATAACATAAAAATAAAGCTTTACTACAATTTTTTATTGCGTTTTATAATTACATTTTTAAATTACTTAAATTTTAAATATTACATATGTATTTCAATTAGAATTACCATTAAATATTATTAATTACTGTGACACTATTAATGAAAACAAATGCTATTTATGAAAGCAGTTGCAATACAAAAATTATAAAAAAAGTAAAATTTTTGAACTTTTTCCAAATAAATAAAACATTTTTAGAAAAAAGTTGCTTTTTCTAGAATTTCTAATTTTCGCTTAGATTCTTTTGTATTATCTTCAATTAGTGAACTTTTAATCTCCTTAAAGTACATAAGCGGATAATATTTAACTGGAAGAAATTAGCGGTTACCACTTCAAATGAAGAATGAAGAGGATTAGACGGAAATAAATCAATCGAGGGTCTGAAAAGAAAGGAGACGCGGACAAGAGTTTTCCATTAACCGACCACATAGAGTTCTCCGGGTTACATCAAAGTACTTGTTACGTGATTCAAAAAGTAAACTTGTGAGAATTAAAGAATTTCTTCTAATCGTACCCGTAGTAAATCGCTTCTTATTTTCTCTAACAAAACATTATAGAAAATTATGGAAAACATTATGGAAAATGTAAGGTGCAAAATCATAAGTAAGTGGCAAAGTAGCCATATTACGATTCTGACAATGGCTGAGGATTCACTGTTGAAGCTCGTCACTTCCACAGAGACACACGGTACGGTTGAATAACTTTGGAGCTGGCACTCAACTAGGTAAAGAGCACTAGGAAATTGCCGTCTCTTCAATCTACCCTCTCTTTTGTCTGCTCCTTATGCGGTTGACAATTTCGCTACGTAAATGCGGATTACAGTTAAAGGATGACGTCATACAGTTAAAGGAGATCACCATTGGAAAGTAAAAGCTATAATTTTCCATAAAAGATTAAAATTCTAAGAACATTCTTCTTTTTAAATAAAAAATAAAAATTTTGCTTTGAGTAAATTATGAGATGCCTGACGTCATTCCTCGTGTTTGCAAAATGGATTTTATAACATATTTTTCAAGACTCTCTCTAAGTGGAATTTTCTGATAAAATCATAATAAAGTAAAGTGTAGTAAAATAGAGGCAATACATGATAACACACAATCCAAATTAAATAAGACTTTTAAAACAATTCATTGCCTATGCCGTCAAAAGAACACTCGTTCGCTTCATTTTTCTTTACATAATATGATAGTACTCTTCACTAAAGCAGGATCTCACTAAGACGTTAGCACGTAAAAACCAAATTACTTTTCAGGAAACTGATTGCTCGGAAAGGAACGCCTTTCTCCGCGCTATCTGAGATAGATTATACTTTTCTTAACGCCGAGACCGGCTCTTGACGTCAGAGATACAACTCCGCAGTCGAGTTGAATCTCTGACGTGTGCGAGAGTGGCCCAATCTGACTCGCGACACATTCCCGGAAAGTCCCGGCGATTACTCCGGAGCCGATCTGACGGGTAGCCATGACGACGGCACAATGTATCTGAGAAAAGTATTAGTATCCGTTCGACTTCTCTCGACGCGTAAGGAGCACGGTAATAAAAGAAAAGAGAAGAAAGAGCAAAGGAGGTGGTGGCGGCTGTAGCGCGGCAAGTTAAAGAGGGAAATCCGACCGAGCGGAGAGTCCTCGGAGAGTCAGTCGACTACTATAAGCGCGACTTCATCCCTCTTTTCTGCCCTCGGGTAAAAGGAAATGACTTTTTTCGTGCACACGCACCGGTTCCTGCTCTCCTCGCGTTCTTATGTCGAGCCGTTTCAAGATTATTATAGACTCTGCATACCAGGCGAATTAACATTTTCCGCTCGGGGGGATTTACCGTCCGATCCTGTACTATGATAAAATCTTCAATCATTGGAAAATTATTACGAGCATGCAGTAGTTCTCATACGTTATGCATGACGTTATTTCGTCTATTTAGTTGCAGTTCAATATTCATGTGTATATATAAAAATAAGATAATCGGGAAGAATGAGATAATTCAAGAAAAAATCTGATTACTTTTTCAGGTGTAAACTTGTAGCATTTAAGATGACATTTTAGTAGCAGAGATAGATTTTCAATCAAATTTATAGAAATAATGAGACATTATTTTAAATAATATTTTAACAGCATTATTTTTACCGTAACATTCGAATATTTGGCGAAATATATATCATTATATTTGTAAAATGTAATAATAACAACAACAACTGGAAGATTACAAACATGTATAATTAAGTTAATACATAAATATTCTTGAAAAGATTGCGCAGATAATTATTTTCGACTCAGGCGGCCTGCAATTGTGTGTTCACTAATGACTAACGCAATCAACGTAGCCTGTGTTATAAATAAATATATTTATTAACATTGCGCATCACTGTGCAAGTTTTTATGTACTTAAACAATTGTTCTTTCTCATAAAATCGGTGATCTCATAAATTTCCTAACCATTATAGAAAAAAAAACGGAGTTTATCAGATGTCCTTCTCTCGATTAAAATAATTTTCGTAACTGTAGAAAGGAATAATAAAGTAAAAGAAAAACGTGTATAAAATTCAAACAATATTCGAGTTCAGCATTTTTTTTATATTCGATTTCTATAGGGAATAACCTTCGTTTACTCAATAATTGTGAAAGAACAGTTGTTTTCGTTTCTAAAGTTTCTTTCTAGATCACGATCAGATTACCCAAGATCTCATGTCAGCAATGCCAGCGAGAGCGTTAAGCGTTTCTTTCTGGAGTCGTGACAGGAGGTGTACGATTGAAAACCATCAGGATCGTGCTTATCTAGAGTAATTCGATTTACCGCCTGAATGCTTCCTTGATTTCGCACTTATAATCAAGTTACAAATGATGTCGCTTTAAACGGCGACGCCCTAATTTTGCCTTCCAGGTGCTCCTATGCCTCTTCAATTTCACGATATCGTTTTCTTAACGCAATCTGTGATGCCGTTACCTTGAAAGACGTTAATTAAGAACAGTAAAATACATTTCGGCAATAGCTCATTTAAAATAATGAACTGATATATCAAGTATAGTAAAACGACGAATTATAAGCTTACATAACATAGTAATTTATTAAACAATAATTAGAAAAACGCTCTCAAGATATACAATCAATATAATTAAGATAAGGCAAATAAGAGCAACACTCTGTTATTAAAATAAATTCTTCACAGTAAATCACAATTCTTCACAATAAATTCTTTACAGTATTTTAGATGTTTATTAGCATCAATTAATCGGTGAGAGATAGAGGATTTTAATGCTCCAACGAAAACTGTTTTAATACAAATATTACTACATGCCTCAGTGGTCGAATTGCGTATTACATGGAAGCGGGGCGGAGGTTCCATGTTCGAACCCTGGTTGAGGTAATATTTTTCGCAATAAATTCTCTACAGTATTTTAGATGCTTATTACAATCAATTAATCGAAGAGGGGTAGGGAATTTTAGTGTTTCAATAAAAACTGTGCTTTAACGTTCGACAAGAAATCGGCGCGCAGTTGAGTAAATTGGAAAAATTCGTGTGCTTGGAAATATATGAATTTATTATTTCATATCTCTCGCTTTAATAACGACGCGTTGCTCTTATTTGTTTTATCTTAATTATATTAATTTATTAAGTTTATGACTTTTTCTAAAAATTTCATTAATTTCATATATGTCTTTCGCACCCATGCGTAATTAAATAACACATTCTTTGCGTAATATTATCGCTAAAAGAGTATATAATACTGAAATCTTGTATTTCTGTTTAGAGAGATTTAATCATCTATTTAATTACCAACCGGTCCATGGCGTAACGTCAAACAAACAGATCGCACGGGCAAGTAAAATTAAATTGCACTTGCTGTCACTGCCAGAGCGCAAAAGTTAACGCGTCCACCACCTACGCACCGCTAACCGAGTGACCAGCTGCTATCGATTGCATATTCGTTATCGATCTTTGACCACGGTATTCGCGACGGGACGAGGCAAGTGAATCCCGACGTGCGACGTGATCGCGCGATTGGTCGAACGGCACCTCTGGTAAACGCTGAAGAAGTGGGGAGTTACATAAAGTCGTGGCACGACGCGGATGCAGCGGCAATTCGTTGTGGAACACCGCCGGTCGCGAGCACTCCACCGGCTCTCGCGGAATCACCACGGGCACGTGGATATCGTCGCTGTCAAGGATTACTCAGTGAATCTTTAGCCAGATTATCGAGGTGCACCTTACTTCAAACGTGTGAGTCAAATTTTATTTCAATTTCAGCTGTGAAAGTAAAGTGTATTTGTATTTCTATTTATCTGAAGCGTTCCTGAGAATCAACATTGTAGGAACATATATATAGAATTTTATCTCGCTATAGGCACTATTGGTACGTTTGTAGTATTTAATTTGGAAGCTAATGAGAGGAAAATTTGTTGAATAATTTGTTAAATAAATCATGTCGTCTGCTACCTTCAAAAGTACATTTTAAACTGCTGCATATGAGTGATGAGCTATATAAATTGTAGCAATATATGATGTAGATTGCTGTAAAAAAATGTAATTTATCGATAGTGAAAGTTGAAATAGAAAAACGATTTGAATAAGCATGAAAGTATCCTATAGATCGTGATACAACTGTAATAATTTTTATAATTTTATAACAAAATTTTTTTACAAAAAAAACGATAAGTTTATATTTTATATAGTATATTTGAGTACATTTACGAGTACATTTCAGTATGTTTGATAAGAGACTGAGTGACTTCGAAGTAAGATTGTTTAGGATCTCGAAAATCCTGTAATTGATGTCAAGGAGTTGAACTTTAATAGCGCTTGTTAGTCTCTAAACGCGCAGAGTGTATCCAAAACTAATTATTGAGCTTTCGCTTTGTTACGGCTTTCGCTCCGACATGTAGTCCGACTGAAAAGCTTGCTAATTGTGTTAGCTCGTTAAATTAATCTGTCACGCTCGTCAAAAACGACGATTAAACTTCGGAAGGAAAGATTAAATAGTATTTTGAGATTGTCTAATATTTGCGAGCTATCTTTAACATATTGGCGTGTTATAAATAGGAATTGCCGTCTGAATAATTGTACTAATAAAAGTAACGTTTTCGACGCGTACTATATTTGAGATCCACATAAATTTAGCACGCGAGTATCTTGGTTGATTTCATTCACTCCAATAATGCATTTGCGATTTTTTTTATCTTTTTTGAGATTTTCTTTTATTGCGTTAATCAGTATCTGAGGAAACGCATCAATCGAAAGATTAACAATCGCTAAATAAACAAACTGTATATAACATTATCTTAACTTGATAAGTTAACGTTATCTGCTTTTTTTATCAGAAATTATTATTAATGTAATTATCATCAAATTGTTTCTCTTACGACATAATGTCCGTGTAAGCGATATCAATCTTATTCAATACTTAATTACTAAAAAAAAATTCAATAACATTAAATACTAAAAAATAATAATTTCTAAAATCTTGTTTGACATTTAGCTTAAATTCTCTTGTAGAATTTAAAGAAACAGTGAGATTGGTCATGGTCGAGCTGGTTGACATTTCACGTTATCACGAAATACACGGCAGCAGATGCTTCTTTCCATAATGCAATTTCAATCTTTGAATACCTAAATGAGTTTTCTTTTATGTGTGTAATACGAGATATGTAAATCAATGGATACTAAAAAATTCCTTAATAATATATTGTACGATTGAATTATATGCAAATTGCTGTCTGGTGCGTAGAATTATCTCGCGAGAATTATTCTATCTAGCGAAACGATTCAAATAAATAAATCATGATGGCTTTATGATAACCCGGTGGGGTCAGAAGCAGCTGTATTTATCTCTAATTATTAACGCGAAAAGCGCATTCATACTTTTATTCTGACAAATATTGGATTATCCCATGAGTAATGCGATTTTTAAGAGATATTTTTGAAATAAAACAAGAAATTTATCATTTTAATTTTAATCCAAAATATATTTTCCATTATTATTTACAACTTTTTCCCATCTTAATCTTAAATTTTCAATTTCTTGGCATTAGAAATCTTTCAGTTTTGAGCTAAAGAGTAAATCAAGCTCCCTTTTATACCGCATTATTTATGAGATGACCTAATATTCTCTAATATCAGAATCAAGAGGGGATTCCCTGACCATCACGAGAGTTTCCTGTATTGTGTGAAAAGGAGTCATTCGTTTTTCTACGTTACTCATTCGTTTTCTTTTTTTCGCTTTTCCTCATATGCCAGGCCAGGACGTTTCGAAAGTAAATGATTATTATTCTCTATAAATCGAATATCCTTGAAATAGTTGAAATAAATGCAACGATATTATTCGTGCTTTATTTTTCTCTATGTTTTCCAGTTCTTAGCAATGCTACTATTCTTAGTGAGCAAACTTTTAATTAATACAATTCATTTTTAATTTTTTAAAATAAAGATAATTAAAGTAAAAAATATCTTAATCTGAGGTTCTCATAGTTCAAATCTCCTTCGTAATGATATTTATTTGCAAATTAATTTAACAATAATAATGGAAGAATAGTAATATATGTCGATTTACTTTTCATATCAATTACTAAGGTATTAATTTAAAGGGAACGATTCAACATTTTAAAACAAGAGCAATGTTATTCTGTGAAGTCAAAATCTGCATAAATATCTTATTAGTTACATGTAAATCACGCAAAGAATTGTTTATTAATCGCTCAAGAATTAATTTATTAAAATTTAACTTCTATTCTCTTGCCACGATCGTTCCTTGAAAATCCGCGTTGCAATATTCCGCGAGTATACGTCATAGCGAGCGAGTAAAAAAAACCGACAAAATCGCGCTTCGACACGATAGATAGGCGGCGGCAAACGGCGCTTCGAACGAAACCAGCTCCATGAAAATGAGTCATGGTCATTACGGCTAGTTCACTCTTACTTCGCTACTATACGCGAAGGCGATTTTGCTGATCGTCACGATCGCTCTTTCGATCTCGTTGTCCTTCTCCTTCCACGATCTCGTGGACATTCTATCCGGTAACATAGACACATATGCATCTCCCTCACCTTCCGGCTGCCGAGTTTCTCAAGACCTACGTCATTGGCTCTACGTCGCCAATTATCGCTGCCTAGGCTCATTAAACATTTCGCTCGAAAGGCCGAACGTACATACACATTTTTATAATTTAAAATTTTTCTTAGGATAAAGATAAAAAGGATGTTCAAACTGACGCAATTAGCGATGTTATCCGCTTTCCGTTACGCGGTAAATCTGTGTTATCAACTTCTTTGTTGAACATTAATGCATTAATGAACAACGATGTTATGTATAAAGCAACGAAAGATCAAAGAAGCTACACACACAGATCTTCTACTAATTCTCTCCTAATAGTAGAATTACAATGTTACAATGTTACAATGTTACAATAAAATTGTTAAACTTACTATAATAATCAAGATTTTATTAATAGCGTTGCTAATTACTTGCAAAATAATCTACTATATTTAATAAAAGAAACTATATGTTAAAAAAAATAATAACTCTTGTATCTCTTATCTTGCTTTGAGAGAGACAGCAATTTAAAATATTAAAAGATAATAAATTATTAAGGTAATTTTAACTCCGTTCCACTTAAAATTATGTTAAAATTTAGCACATATGCTTATGTAATATCTTGATAGTACCATCCTTATGCAAATCCTGCGCTTTAACTCTTTTAATCCTCGTCATAATGTCACTTTCTCTTTTTATCTAAAATCGTTGTTTAACACACATCCTTGAATCCAGCAAAACAACTTCAACCGCTTCACACGTTTTCTATAAATTATCACGGTTATCTTGATAACAAGATCTTTATGGTCATTTGCATCAGTCACGTAACATGCGGAAATGCAATCGCTATCATTTTCTATTTATTCCGATAAACGTTCACGATCAATCTTAAAAAAAAAAAAAAAAACGGCATATGTATGACATTCGTACCTTGATTTAAAAAGCGTTCGTGCATATTGATTATGCCAAGGATACTACAGAATAACACTTACTCCACTTATGCAGTTAATGCACAACAACACAATTGAACGGATATTTTCGATATCGTTACATCTCCATAACAATCTTATCATTACGATATTACAGGTAAAAAAAAACAAATCATGGATCCCGATAGCTTCAAGGATTACGCCAACGAGATGGCGGAATACATCACAAATTATTTGGAAAATATTAGAGACAGGTAGGTGATAACATGTTGTGATCGAGAAATCGTTTGTTTGAAATCAATGAATCTGAATTAAATAATAATATATATCAGTTTATGTTTTTTATATAAATATAAACTCAACCCTCGTTTTACGATAAATACGTTTCGCGTAAGATAAAATCACGTTATTTGAAAAAAGCCTTTGCTGGTCACTGTGTGTAGTGAGCAACTAATTGTAAGAAGCTTTTAGCTTGATACGTACACCCCTTTCGGTTGAAGGTGCATGTACCATGTGCATGATTTCTATTTTATAAAAGGGGGAAATACATGTATATGTATAATTTCTATTTTATAAAAGGGGGAAATATGCGCACATATGGAAAGCTGTTTTCATGAATGAATTTAAAGAGAATATAAGGGTGAACAAACAATATAAATGATATAATCGAATTGTGATTGACAATGACTATCAAGCTGCTGAAATGTGATTAGAGCTACAACGATGATTGAAAAATAGTCTAGGGTATTATTCGCTTTTTTAATATAATAATATGAGAGGGCATATGTCCGAGTGAAAAAACATTGATTCAATATTAGAATTTAAAATTAAGATATACATGAGAGATTAAAACAATTATTTGAAAAACCGTGTAAAAATAATCGCGCAAAAAAGGGCGTAAAAAAAAGAGTTGGATGTATCTCGTAAACAGAAATTTCAAAAATTTCCAGGAGAGTCTTGCCAACGGTAGAACCAGGATACATGAAACCCCTCTTGCCATCCGAAGCGCCACAAACCCCTGAACAGTGGCAAGATATAATGGCCGATATCGAACGAGTAATAATGCCAGGCGTAAGTGATTTTTAAGTGCCTCAGATGATCGTAAATCACCGATCTATCAGGATCTATAACTGTAATCTGACTATAACTGTATTAATGACTGACTCGCATACATATCGCGAAACGGATATAATGATACTAAAAAAAAAAAAAATTAAAGTACTTTATCATCGGCACTTTCGATTGTTGCGTAAGTAAGACAAGAAATAAATTAAGATAAAATTGTTTAGGTTACTCATTGGCACAGTCCAAAATTTCACGCATACTTTCCCACTGCGCAATCGTATCCCTCGATTCTAGCCGATATGTTAAGCGGAGCTATTGCGTGTATTGGATTTTCGTGGGTAAGTACAAAAACTTGCAGTTGAAAATGCGATGTTTTATTTATGAATTACGATTATTATAACCTTCGCGTGTTCATGCTTATGTCACTTAATGTTCTGTAGTGATAGTTTATTTAAAAAGATCCTTAATTTATATCTTTAAGAGTAACAAAATCTGTTTCCATGCATGACACATAAAAATCCAAGTTAAAATATTGACGGAAATAAAATCTCTTTTTTTAAATAAAATATGTTACTAATTTTTTGATAAATAAAAAAATAATATAAATCAAGGAAATATGTCGAATGCTGAAATCAAAACGCTAAAGACACATCATCCTTTTATAGTCACTTTTGATATTAAATTTCTTGTATTCCAGATCGCGAGTCCAGCTTGTACTGAACTAGAAGTGATCGTATTAAATTGGCTGGGAAAAATGCTGGATTTGCCGAAGGAATTTCTTGCCTGCAGCGGTGGGAAAGGCGGTGGCGTAATTCAGGTAAACGACATTTTACGAATAATATTACATTTACAAAAGATATCTGAATAGCTAGAGAAAATAGTCATTATCCCTGACTGACATTCCTAAAGAGGAAGACACTATTAAGCATACTTAAAGTATAATTTTCACCTACAGGGCACTGCTAGCGAAGCCACTTTGGTAGCGTTACTAGGAGCGAAGGCTAAAAAGATAAAGCAAGTTAAAGAACAACATCCCGATTGGATGGAAAACGAGATCGTCGAAAAACTAGTCGCATACTGTTCTTGTGAGTATACTATACAATTATTTTGTTACGGAATCTGCTACTGATATGCAAAGTTTTACAAGACATCAAAAATGAATTTATACGCTATACATACAGAGTATTAAATCGCATAAATTGTCTCTTAATCAATTCTTGTCTATCTTTATTGAACAAAGAAGCAGCGCACAACAATGAGCGTTAAGCGTAACGGTTCAGTGACTTTAAATAAACACTTGAACTATGACATGTATCTCGATGAGCGTTAAATGATCTATGACAGTCGCAATTAAGCCTTATATAGACATGGAGACAGAATTAAAAACAAAAGGACAATGTTTCGTAAATTTTAAAAATATTGTCACGATAATCCACTAAAATTAATCTATAATATTTCATGTGTTATTTTATATGTGAGATATTATAATTCATTATTAGTTTCTTAATATACACATATAGTGTTACGGCAAATGAAAGATATATAGCTAAATAACCCCATCTCGTAATTTTTATTTAAAAATTTTTTTTGAAACACAGCATTAATATAAAATTCATCATTTTATTAGAATATAACAAAAAAATAAATTCATTAATTTACTTGCAACATTTACTTGCAAAAAGTTATTGTTCCGTAATTTGTTCAGCAAATTATAACTTTTTAATGTGTTATATAATCGCAATTAAAGGCTATTACAACGGGTTATTACAACGTATCACTGATTTAATTTAACAATTTTTCATTCGTATTCATTGCATTACTTCGAGACGCATAGATATAATGCTGAAAAGTGTCCGGTCGCTTTCAGTGACCGGGCGCACAATCAGTGTAAAGGCATGTGAATAGAGGGGGATGAGAGGGATGGAGGTGATAGGGTGAATATGGGGTTCACGGCACTTCATCAAGCAGCACTTTGTCGCCATGGCAACTCGTAATAACCGCTCCAGCTATATTTCAGACCGAACTTTCTCCGCTATTCTCGACGCTCATAATAATTCCGACGCATTTTATCGAAATGGATAAAAAGAAAGAGAAAATTTTTCTAGAATTCTTCTCCGATACGATGAATAATGACCACGGTGTTTTTTCGATTAAAAATATTGAATGGAACAATATTATCAACGAGCCGTTATTGTTCTAAAAGAATGGAGAATTTTTTATATCCTTTTTGCGCTATAATCGCGATTGAAGATGAGACCGACAATTTCGTCAATATTTATAAACAAGATTCTCTTCTCCAAACATTCTATGAGACATTAAAGAGTTACAAGATTCTAATAGAAGTAAAAATTAGGAAAAATTTGGAAAGATGTAAAAAGTTGTAAATTAATAGGAGTATAAAATTTTTGTTATGTATGTCTATTATAAGTATACTTTTAATAATATTTTGGTATAAAAAAATTTGATTTTGTAGTGAATATTAATATCGCTGTGTTCATTTTCTAGAATAGCATTTTTTTAAACTATAACCACGATAACTTGAGAACGGTTTATTCGATTAACTTCATGTTTTCACAAATGTTTATCATAATTTGTCTACATCGGTTCACGAATGTGTTTTAATATCACATGAAACCTGTAAACTACTCTCTTCTCAACTTAGGCATTTATACGGTTACGTAATTTATTTACCGTAGCTTCTGTTATTCCCAGAAGTCGAGCAACTTGCATTTGACTTTTAGTTAACTCCATTGTCACATCATCCTAGTAGATACTGCTGACTAAATAAGGACAGAGTTTTCGGTATATTTTAGTCGATTCTATCGATTGTAAGTGTTGTTTATTAAAACATATTTCCATTTTAAGGTATTTAGCAAGAATTTCTATCGTATATTTCCTCACTTCTGACGTCACAATCTGAGATAATAGGTGATAGATAGCTGAGTGAATAAGAGCCTTAAGTGCATACATTGTTGAAAAATAAAATATATTAAAGAAATAGAGATGTTTGTCAAAATTTATAAAATTTATATACCTATTCATATGGTATTACGTATCTTACAATTAGTTTTACAAGTGCAAGTTACTCTAATGCCCGGTTTCACCAACGTCGTTTAACTTGAACCTTAGTCAAAAAATTCACTCTTTGCCTATTTCTAAGGGAGACTGTTAGAAAGAGACAAAGAGTGAATTGTACTAAGGTTCAAGTTAAACGACGTTGGTGATAAAGGGCATAAATTTAGTTAAATATTAAATATTAAATATTAAATATTAAATATCAACATTGCATAAATTATAGGTATAATATAATGTAGTAATAAAAAGAATATGTGTTACGTCAAATCGATATTGCGAATTTCTCGAAAATCGAACAATTATAATAAATTAATCGCAATGAAAATATGCGACAAAATATTGTATTTTTTAGGCCAAGCACATAGTTCAGTTGAACGCGCTGGACTTCTCGGTGGAGTAAAGTTCAGACAATTGGAAGTCGATGAAAAACATAAGCTGCGCGGCGACACATTTGCCGATGCAATCAGAAAGGATAAAGAACAAGGATTCATACCGTTTTACGTAAGTTCAGCTTATCCAATATTTCTTTATTAATCGAATTGCATCTTCCATTACTTATATTTGTTAAAAAAAACTAAATAAAGAAAAAAATTAAATGTATTATATAAACGTGAAATAATATAATATAAATATTTATGAAATAACATAATATTCCCAGAAAATTCTCAGAAATACAAAAAATTCTCGGAAATTAAATAATGCAATGTGTTTATTATAACATCACAGAAAAATATTGATATCGCGCTTAATAAAAAATTTTTCTCTATAAATAATCTGTATAATTTTCTCTATAAATAAGCTGACTTCTTATCGTAGGCTGTCGCTACTTTGGGTACCACTGTCGATTGCGCCTTTGATCGTCTGGATGAAATGGGTATCGTAGCGAATCGTGAAGACATTTGGTTGCATGTGGACGCTGCTTATGCAGGTATAAATAAATTTTCTCATTTTAACATGAAAATAATTATGGATTCTTCAAATGGCGATTTATAAAACAGAACTAAAACAAATCCATTTGATTATAGGATCCGCTTTTATCTGTCCGGAATTCAGATATTTAATGAAAGGCATCGAAATGGCGGATTCATTTAATTTCAATCCTCATAAATGGATGTTAGTTAACTTCGACTGCTCTACCATGTGGCTTAAGGATCCGACATACGTCATAAACGCTTTCAATGTCGATCCTTTGTATCTCAAACACGATATGCAGGGTTCAGCGCCGGATTATAGGGTAAGCTATTAAAAATCTATTACGAGTCACTTACGTTGATATTGTCGAATTTACATTATTTAATTAATAAAATCAATTTAAAAAACAATTAATAAATACTGTCGTTAATCTGTGTAATTGTACTTCGTTACAGCATTGGCAGATTCCACTTGGACGTAGATTCCGATCTCTGAAACTTTGGTTCGTATTGAGGCTCTATGGGGTCGAGAACCTTCAAAAGTTTATCAGATCACACGTCGCTCAAGCACACGAATTCGAGGCATTAGTCCTCTCCGATCCTCGCTTCGAAATCGTGGGCGAAGTTCTCATGGGATTGGTTTGCTTCCGATTAAAGGTAAGTCAATTACTCTTTACCAATATATTTGAAAAAATAGGTCTTTTTAAACAAATATATGTATATGTGTTCAATATTGTATTTATTTAAAAAAGATGTTCATAATTTTTATATTAAATTTTAAATTAATGGAAGAACATATATTTAGAAATAATTATTAATTAATTGACAATTAGAAAATATTAGGAACATCATTTTTATAAAAGCGTAAGCAGAATAAATAACAGAATTCCATAATAATTCTATAATAATTTAAAGGGATCCAACGAACTCAATGAAGCCCTGCTAAAGAGGATCAACGGTGCGGGAAATATCCATCTCGTTCCGTCGAAGATAAAAGACACGTACTTTCTGCGACTCGCTGTCTGCTCTCGATTCAGCGAGAGCAAGGATATACAGTATTCCTGGAAGGAGATCAAGCTGAGAGCCAACGAGATACTTGAGGAGCAATCGGTTTCGAAGTGATGGCGCGCTCAGATAGCTCGCGGTTGCAGATCGTTAGCGCCTGCCACTTGCAACCAATCCTAGTTTCAAGTATTTCCTCACACCCAGCGGATTTTGAGGACCAAATAGACTAAAGCGACGAATGATTAATAGGCGGTCTCAGACAGTTCTGCAATAAAAAATAATAATTTTTGCAAACATTTTTAAATTTCAAACGATTAAACAATACTCCAAAAATGCATTTGTTCGCCAAGTAAGGCATTCTAATTTGGAAGCCATTAAGTCAATGTGGCTTAATTAATCAAATATTTGTTGAAAATTAAGAAATTACGAATAACGGCCGTTGGTGAAATTTTAGAAAATTAACTGTGTAGTCAGAATTTAAGTGTGACATCAAATTGGAATATATAGTATTTTAATATTTTGGATCCAATATATTTTATTACTTTAATGAAATGTTATATGTTAATAATTTAACAGCTTACGAAATGGAGAAAATATATTAGTCTTAGACTTTTAATATATTGCACAAATTTTAGTTTTTTTTATTTCTATATACAATGTATATTCACGTTTATATTTTATTAAGCACAACGAACATGTATATAAATATTCTACTTGTTACAAATATGTAACTGAAATTATATACTTCGTTAAAATTATATTCCACTAAGCGCTCAACGTGAATATAATATAAAAACGTCGCCTATAAGTTGAATGCGTGATACTTGTTGTACTGTTATTTATGCACATGTTATTATATATGAATGTTTATATATTATACATCACACAAAAAGTGTATTATAAAAAAATAATTTATTGTATAATGAGATAAAGCATTGGATACAAAATTTTGGCAAGCGGATGTCACACGTAGTGGAAAACTTTAAAATACACCATGTAAATTTTATAAAGTGATGCGCGTATATAAATCTGTTTGATCATATTATTGAGGAAAACGAATATTTTATTTACGTAAAAAGTTCCATACAAAGAGGTACGTTTTAAAATAATTGCTACTTCAGGAATCGATTTGTGTGTGAGTGTATGTGTGTAGTCTGCTGGGTTATATGTTAACAATATAATAGGTGTAATGCAATATTATGTGTCTCCTTGTGCCACTTTTGCCGGCACACTATCAGTGTTACCGTATACGAGCTCCTTAAGCAACCTTGTAAGTACACTACGTAGTGAAAGTCGCGCATTGCCATTACAAAGTTGCGCGTTGATATATAAGCGTAATTTTTGGCACAATATTAAAAATGCGTGAAATATTCTTTAAATCGCTCAATATCTCAAGTAAACATCGAATGCTTATTTATTATTTTGCAGGCGTAAAGAATTATGAGCGTATGAAATCATCTACGTGTAAAATATTTTAATTCGCTAATTAATATGTGAAGAGTGAGATATGACTAATTATTTAATTTCACGACGGAAGGTAATTTGCCAATCTGGATTTCCCACCGAAATGTTTATATTCCTTTTCAAGCGTCTACGAAGAATTAATAAATCTCGTTTCATATTTCCTCACTATTATAATCTTCGTACACGTTGAAATTGTATGTAAGTAGAAGATTATAGACGCATGTTGTGTACATATGTTACAATTATAAATGATTATAAAGTAAATACATATTAGTAAAACATATTAGAGAAAATTGTAAAATCGACGTATGTAACATATCATTATTGTATTCTCTATTTATACATCTATTTTTGTTTCCCTATAGGTTTTTTCTAAAACTTGCTTTGAATCTCTACTTTTATCGCAAATATTCACTATGTCGTTGGAACAAAACTGCGAAGATAAATACTTGTAATATTGTAATAATGTCTTTCAAATGGCAAACGATTGGAACGATTATTATAAATGTATGTGCGCTAATATACTTGCTGTAACGTTGTGCTGCAACAGAGACAATAATAGTAATAGAATTAATCAACAAGACATAGCCTGTCGAAAAAGTTGACAACATTCGAATAACCTGAGGTCGAGATAAAAAAAAGATGTAAATTTAAATAATCATTAAGATTACTGCTGCGTTTATTGCCAAGCGATAATATGTTCTCGAAGATAAGAATATCAACTAATAACAACAACTAAAAATACAGACGCCAAAACATTCATTGTTATTGAATTATAAAAAGATTTCACAATGCTAAGCAACTAAGTATTAAGCAATAATTTTATTATAGCTTAAAAATTTTATTAAGCTTATCATTTTAGCAATTTACGCAAAAAAGCAACGTTAATCTGAAGCAACAATTTCAGTCGTTGTGGGACCAATGAATAATTTGCTATAAACAAAATGATTGTATTTTTGTTGTATATTGTTCGTTAAAAAACTGCAAAATGTATTATTAAGTATTATTATATGTCAATGTGATTGAAAATTTAACTATTAAACTGTTAATGTCGACCAAATTAGATTAATAAATGTACCAAACCACCAGTCCCACCACTCTTATTTCTTTTTTAAAATAATATACCCTTATCTTAAAAAAAAATGTCTATTAATTTACGAAATATATGAATAGCAACGCTTTGAGTACAAAAATTAAAGAAATATTAGATATTAAAACATTCCTGATTTGACATATGTTGCATGTATTATTAAAAATTATTTATATCTGTCAAATGAACCTGTCGAATTCATCAAATAATTATAGAGATTGTTGACGTGGCTAATCACCGGCAATGTAATTTACATCACATAAGATTTATGTTAATTAATATTGATTTAAATAATTATAAACTATATATCGTTTAATAAAAGTAATGCACGAAATAAATAAATTTGTCAATATAAAAATATTATATTTTGATGAAAATATCTTGAAAAATCAATAAAAAAATTTGTAACTTTATTCATTACGTTTTATTCTATATGCTTAATACCTTCTTCAATTAGATCGATATCAACTTGAAAAAAATTTACGCCTTTAGCCACAAATAAGCTTTCTACAGTTTATGTCGTAACACCAACACTTGGCCCTTAACAGATGATAATAAGCCTTCGCCTTTGTATCTAAGTAAATGAGTAATGTAAAGGGCAGGCTATGTTAACAAACGAGTAATAAATAGGCGTCTAATAAAATATAATATAATTATGTGTCATTATATGTAATACAACGATAACAATAATGATGTGTAATATTAATAACCAATTAAGAAAAGAGATAGAGAAAAAAGAGAAAGAATGAAAGAAAGGAAGACAAAGAGAAAATTTCAAAAGGATATTTTTATGTCTCGCGGAAATTAAAATTATATGTATATCATATGAGAAGAGAATACTGTCACAATTCTAAAAATTTTGATAAGTTAACCCCATAAAAGTATGCCTAAAATGTCATCTATGTGTTATAAATAGTACTTATAACAAAATATCGTAATTGTATATAATTATCATATGTTGGGGTTATCTCATAATTTTATAAAATTAAAATAAATTTGTTTTTTTCTCTCCTAAAATTTATGTATGTTTGAATAGTGACAGTATTCTTCTCGAGATCCGATATGTATATGTATAATTTTAAGGTACATTTGCACATATATACGTGTTTGTGAATGCGCGCGCGCGCGCGCGCGCGCGTGTGTGTGTGTGTGTGTACGTTATATGTATTAATATAAGTATATAATTATATTTGAAAAGAACTGACTATAAGATATAATATTCGTATAAAGCATCAGAATTAATAGAATATATTGTAGAAAAGTATATTATATTTTACCGAAAACCGGTATTATTGCTGCATTTCAGGTTCAGGTAAAGGAAATAAAATGTATAATTTTATGATATACTGTACAGAAACAAAGTAGCATATAGTGTCAAAGTGTTCATCATTAAATGAATGTTTAGACCATTCAGGAACCGACTTCTTTGTTTTGTACACCACAAAAGTGTTTTACTAGTATTTCTTCAAGTTCATCTAATAACTCTCTAAACAAAAATTTATTTATTGATATAACATATAACTATGTAACTATGCACAGACATTATTATTAAGTCTGTTTATGGCAAAAGATTTTACTTTATTCAGAAGTCAGAAAAATAACTTTACGGGATATTTTACACTAAATTACAAATTAACATTCCAAATTTTGCTCGGACCTTATTTAAAAATATTGATTATAATAAATTATAGACTGGTTAAAAGGAATCTATAGAAAGAAATTGAAATTTTACGTAGTAATTTATAAAAACTGACACTTCTATACATTTTTCTCATTTATGTATTGATAAGACTTTGACTCCTTTTTGGAAGATAAGATAATGTGTAAATATTTAACATACTAATTAATTATAAGAAGTACATTAATTCATCATTTACCAATGTTTCATTGATCATCATTCAGTACAAATAAAAAATTCAAATATTTTGGATGTAATATTTTGGAAAGTATAAAAAACATTTACTTTGTTTTAATCATAAACAGTTATTTGTAAATTATCTCCGTACCTTTGCCAAGAATACACAGCGATATAATATTTGCAGAATAATATGTCTCATAAAACTCTAATAGCTTATTTCTAATGTTAATGTTTTTCTCCTTCGGTATTTTGTCCAATGTCTCTCTATTGCCTTCGCCAAATTTTGAATACGGATGATCTGGTCTCACAGATAAATAATTTCTCCAATTGATTAAATCGCCACTTATCGTCCATTAAATGTATTGTGTGTTCTAAATTTATATCATTTACCTTCTGATCAATCAAATTTTCCATAAAGAGAGCGTTAAGAAAAACTGTGTAAAGTGAAAAAGCGCCTTCCAACTTATCCGGTCTTATATCGAAGTAAAACGTGGTGTAATCTAAGCCTGTCGATGAGCTGCTCGAATCGCCATTCCACCACAGATATATATTGTAATTATTTCAGTGAGAAAATTTTTTTGGTCCCAAATGTAACATACGCTCGCACAAGTGCGCTAATCCAAGTAGATCGTCTGGATCGCACACATAGCCTGCAACATATTTCATCTCTAATTAAATAATCCGTTAAATTGATAATTTAGCGGTATTAATTCCTGATTATTTGCGTTATCACAAAAAAATGACCAATTATATCCAGAAGGAAATGTAAACAGTAATCATACTATAGATAGAGTAACTCAAAAGAGGAAAAGTGCATAAAAAGTGCATCAAAACATTAAATTTATGTATATGCCGAAATACAAAGTTATTAAACAGAAATCATAAAAATAAAAAAAGTAACACATGAAAAATATTAAATATATTAAACTGATGAAGAAGTGATGTATCTTCAGACTTATTATATTACAATTTATAATGTATGTACAGAATGATTTTATCAGAAAGTTTTTATGAGAATTATTAAAAACAAGTGTATGTAAAATCTAGCGAAATAATATAATTACCGATATTAACGTCCATTGCGAAAGAACTATTGGCAGTTGTTCGATTGCTTATTAAAAGAACTTTCATTTTATATTAGCGAGTTCTAAGCTCCTGTATTTTCGGTGGTCTTCGGTTTTTCCTATATCATCGTATCGATTCTCCACATCTTTATGAGTCGACATATTGGTCACACTGGAGCTACAGATTCGGAAATATTATTTCTAACATAAAGAAAATACAAATACAGACTTTAAGAATGTATAAATTTGTTTACCTATTTAACCATTATATATATATTATCTATACAACAATGATGCTGAAAATATATTATTCTAACTGAAGCAAAGTTGTAACTTTTCAAGAATTATTTGCACAATAAACTTTTTTCAAAAAGTCTTTGAATCATAAAACATTTATAGTTACTAATAATATACAATATTAAATAAAATATTGAATAAAGATATTTTAAAATATTAGGAAAAATTTATTAAGTATGTATGAATGCAACACTCGATGCAACACAATATTGTAGTATAAATTCAAACTGTTACATGGATTAAGTACGGAGTTACAATAGTTTCTATTTTATTAAATTGTCAAGATAAAATGTTTTCCTTATTTGTCATTCTCTTATGAACAAAATTAAAATGTAAGTAGTGTTTCTCTGTTCTCTGTTCTTCGTTCATTTTCTCATTTCAATATATGGTTACATATATGACAAAAATATAACCAGAAAAGTAACATAAAAAGGAAACAAAGCAAAACTTAACTTATTTATAAGATTACAATCAAATTATTAATGCAAAAAGAGTCAAATGTAATAAAGTACTATTAGAGAGTAATTTCAATTAAACGGTGTAATGTTTTTCATTGCCAACGTATACGTCATTTCTAAAACTTAATTTTTAATAATTGTTATCTGCAATTATCAGTTATTGAAAAACCTATCCTAACCTAACCTAACCTAACTACATGTGTCCGCATTTTAATATTTCCTTGAAAAGACAAGATTTTTGTATGAATCAAACCGTATTTATTCTAAATTCTCAACAAAAGATATAAGATAGTAGACAAGAAAAGGTTATGATGTCGAAAGTAATATTGATACAATTAAAAATATTACGCATAAGACAGACGTTGCCAATGAATATACACCTACCTATAATATAAAGTAAAATAATGCCCAGATATCATCAATCATCACAATACCGATAAATTAGTAAGAAACAGCGACAAATGCGAAAGATATTGATACACCAGTAATATTGAAAACAATTAACAAAGAGAACAATGTAAACTATCCCAGACGGCAGACACGTAAACTCATGACGATCGAGCGTTTGCGCAAATAACACGTAAAGCTGCGTCCACAAATACCTGTGCTTAGCAATAATTGAGTTTGTTTCAGGCAACGTATTCAATATTTGTTACATTTATCCAGCAACAGTTTACGCCCAGAGGTTTCATTAATGTATAGTTTACAGTTTACATATTATTGATGGAGAAACAATTTACACATTGTATACACACACATATGTATTATATTCTATAGAGGACGATTTTTATCTTTTTTATCTCATGTAATATTTTTATTAGGGGAGTGGGAGTGGAGAATTTTTTCATAATTTATTTTCTTTTATTTGTATAATAAATATTTAAAAATATCAATACTTTACCATATGAGAAAAATAGCCACAAGATTTGGGAAAGTCAAATATATATGATATTTTTATAGTGTTTTTTGTGCCAAAACCAATTAAGCGGGAAGTACACACTTCTGCACAATGCATAATGTGTAAGCATAAGAAAATTGATTGGTCCATACACATGTGCATAAGGAAATAGACCAATCAGTTTTCTTATGCTTACGTATTATGCGTTATGCAAAAGTCTGTGTTCCCCATGGCACTGTAATATAACAAACGATAAATAGACAAAATAAATTAAAAAATTCTAAATTATAAGAAAAACGCAAACGAAGATAAAGTTTAAATAAATTAGTTATTATTAATTACTACAAACTCACCAATATATAAATAGTATTACATAGCAAAGTAATAATTATTTTCCTATTCACAATTATGTATTCAGATCAAAATCATTTATTAAGAAATTATACAACTAGTCAAAAGTATATATTTTACATGTTTGTTGTTCTTTCTTAAATAGAGCTTAATTATTAATAAGAGAAAAAGGAAGGCATATCTTTTCACACATTTTGATATATATCTGATATAAATAGTATACATATTTGATATAATAATAAATAGTATATATTCTTTGAGATTCTGAATCAGGATATCTGCGGTGAGGAAATGACAATATAATATTTATTTGATTTATAACAATTTATTGTTATAGAAATTAAAGAAGAAATTGAACATGATACAATTTATACCAATTAAGAACGTTTTTTAAGAATGTATAATATCTCTGAACTCTTTCCATTGCGAATATTATATGGAAATCACAATTGCATCCCAAGTAAAGGAATATTCCTAAATTATATTCAAATTATCTTATTTTATTTATATACATATATCGTTTTATTTAGAATACTTAATATAATTAATTTAAATTTTTATTTAAGCTTGTACTTAATAAACATATTTTATTTGTAAAGAAGGCGACGAAGATTCAAATATGAAAAATTTATTATTATTGTAGTAGTATTTACTATTTCGCATATCTATTATTTATATGTTATTATATAGTGTATAAACGAATAAAGATGATCTATATGTGAGCAATCGCGAGATCTCCAGGGGGAAGGGGGCCTATAATTAATAATTTCATTTGCGTTTTTGATTTCATTTCTTTTATATAATTTTGGAATCTCTACAAGGACGTCATCGTTGGAATCTAAGGAATTTTGAGGAGAGAAAACTAAGGGCGAGGGGCTGATCGTTTGAGAAAGTCGAGAGGGAGGGGAGGGAGGCCTGTTCGCGCTGTTCGTGGAGCTCGCAGGAGGCTAGCGGAAGGGGAGCGCGACGGAACGCGCGTATAGCGCGTGATCGGCAGGTGACGGAGAAGACTCGTCGCAGAGCCCTCCACGGCCAAGGAAAATGAGATGCTCCGACCGATCTCCACGGCACCGATTGGACCCGGAATGGCGAGGTCATCATCCCAGAGGTTCACCGGGAGAGCTCCGGTCGGTAGAAGTGAGGCCCGGCTGTCCGCAGCGCTCGGCGAAAATTTCGAAATGCCATTGCGAAGGCGCGGGCTCGCGAAGCACCCCCGTAAGACCGACTGTATACGACACTGCGCGAGTGCGCGACAGGGGGCGACGGGCGACGGGGGCGTTCAGTTCCCATCAGGACACCGCGCGATACGGCCGCGACGTGGATCCTTCCGACCTTCGATCAGCTCCGATCGTAATCGTATTCGGTCGCGAACGAGCGTGATGTGTGTAATGTGTGTAATGCGGGTTAAATCGTCGTCCAGCATGGTGTACGCGACGCTTGCTGTGGAGCCTGCGTTTTCTCGTCGCCGTGTTTCGCGCATGACGGTGGAATCCCTGGAATATCGACCCGCGATCGAGACTGGCGTTCGAGACAATTTTACATCAAAAGCATCCGAGTATCGTGCCTCCCCTCTCCTGTAAGTACGCAACGCTTCATATTCGTTTGACGCGAGTAATTGCGCTCGCGAATGCGATCGCCAAATCGCCATGTCGATGTCGTTCCGTCGAGAAGCTCGCGCGATTTTCGTCGCGAGCGCGATATATATCCGCCATGTTTCCTGTGCGTCGGTGCCGTTTTCCTGGAAGACGCTCGTCGCGGTCGTTTTTTTTTTTTTTTCGGGTGACGGGACAAATATTTATACGCGAGCGTTACTTCTGTTAGTAACTTACGATAATTCCACTACGTAAACGGAGATATGTAGTAATTTACGATAATTCAATTTAATTCCACGTAAATGAGGGAATTATCGTAAGTTGCTACAGAAGTAACGCTCGCGCAAACGTAATAATGATGAGAATACTGAGTATATGGACGAATTACGATCGGACGCGATTATTATTATCTCTTTCTTGAATGATGTATCGAGGGGAGTTTCGCGTGTGATATATGCGAATTTCTCGGATCTATGAAATTGGCTCGACATTCTACGATAGTAATTTCAAAAATATACCGAGAGTTTTAACAGCACTTTTCATAGTTCTGCATATAAAAACATGATAAAAAATAAACTAGTTTCACATTCCTTGTATTAAAAAATCGAAATAGAAAAAATGTGAACTTCGCGAATCTAGCACGGCTTTCTCCTCTGAAGTTATCAAAACGTGTTGACCAATTATATTTGACGAGAGTTCCCGATAGTTTTAATCGAATTCTCCACACATGTATGCAATTTCAAATCGATATCTTCCCATCAATTAACAAGTTTTGAACAATTTTTATCCGCGCCCAGCGAGAAGTGTCGCGCTAATGATACGCGATTCTTTCCGTTTTCCGCGGTTCTAACAATTATTTTCGGCAGTTCTATAAGAGAGTTTAGTGTTTTATAATTATTGTTTTTTCGCAGTGGAGATGCTGGTATCCGTGCAGCAAGTACTGTAGTTGTCAGCTGGATTTTCGCTCGTGAACGTCGCGTCGTGAGTTAGTACGCCGACAGAGATGCGACATCGGATGAGGACCACGGAGAAGAGGAGGAGGCCTGGGAGGCATCAGGTGACGGCGGAGCAACCGTGGGGTGAGTACTTGATTGTAGAGTACTTGATGTCGCCATTTTTTAAGTAGTGCAACTTTTTCTTTACGGTTTGAAAATTCATGTCTTGTATTTTTATGCAATTTGTTCGATTTTCCGACATTTCGCTGTTTAGCATAGTTGAGAAGACGCTTAAACAAATTA